GGTGGTGGCTCTTGAACATCTCCGACAGAGTGGCTTCTCCTTGCTTGCTGCCCAACATGGAGGAGCCCAACAAATTCACTATTGCAAACTGGCCGTAGTTGCGCTTCATTTGGCGCATGTGCTTGTCGAATGCAGGCGCCGAGGCTTCAGTGCCTCGTGCAAAACGCACCTTGTGAGAACCAACCTGCCAAACAAGATGACATTATCAATCACTTCCATTTTATTCAAAGGAGAGAAATGGAAAAAGAGCCACCGACACTAAATGTGAGGATTTGAAAATTGTTCCGATCATTTCAAGGAAGCGATAACGTCATCAAAATAGCAATAAAAACAATTTCTCAACAATCTCGGGGGCGGAAAAAAGGTTCACCTCTCCGATTAATTCCGATTACAATTCGAATACAGCAAAATTCCATTACAACGAATCTCGTTATAATGAATTTTTTATTGGCCCTAGCAGTTTCTCGGAAGGAACAATATTATGAAAATGTCCATAAACATATTAATTTCCTGTTGATTACGTGTGCATGAGCCATAGAAATGTAGCACAATATGAGAAAACCCAACTTGCGGATAATTAAAACATATCAACTTTTAGATTTTCGGCTAGAAACAAATGTCCTTTAAATCGTAGCGTGCTTCAAGCTTAGAGACTAGTCTTAATTAGATCGAGTGAAAATTTTAAATCTTTACTAATTAAAAAATAGCTTCATGCAAACTAAGGATACTGTTTTTTCCAGGGAGCACACCCTTACACCTGTGATTTTTTGTTTGTTTCAGCTTATACTTCAGTAAGATCAGTTTTATTTTATTTAGGAAATTCAAGAAAGGGAAAGTCTGAGATACAAGCATTGCATTTTAAATTTTGAATTTCCTCAATTTTTTCAACAAAAGAAGTCGCAAATAATGGAAATTCTTCACATATTCGCATTGGAAATAAAGTACTTCAAGGCATCTATTACCCGTTTCACATAAATTTTCAGTCCTATACATGCTCAAAAACCCAAAAATTTCATTATAATGGATTTTTCATCTTAGGACCCTCGGAGTTCGTTGTAACGAGATTCGACTGCACACCATGGGGGAGGGGGGCAATGAATGAATGAATGAGTGAATAAAACCCCTAACCTGGACTCCAGGCTGTTCCCAAAACAACGGGACAGAACCTCGGGTCTGCACAAAGGACGCCACGTCCTCGTCGGCAAAAATAACCTGCTCCGTCTCCACAAAATTCGCCACCTGTCCGTCGTCGTTGGCGCCGCGCACATTGAACCTAGTACCGGCCCTTTCGCAACTCAGTCGGGAAATGAGACACGCCTTGGCTTGCTGATGCCCGACGTACAGGGTTCGAATTTCCACGGCGCCGCAAATCATCTTGACTAGCCAACACGTGGTGTCCACGCCGAATCGCATCAAGTGCGTGTGCAGGATTCGGTTCCAAAAGAACCGGTTGTCCGTCTCCGACGTCTTGGTGGCCCGCTGGCTGCAGAGACTCAAATCAAACGCCTCTGGCTTGGAAGAGTAGTAGAACGTGCCGAGACTCAGGATTTTCTTCACGTCCATGAGCTTCTCCTCGTCTCCGGGTTGTCCACGCAATGATACAAGCTGGACACCGGTGATGCGCAGGATTTCCGCTTCTTTTATCTTGCCCACGGAAGAACATCCCGTGATCATTGCCAGGAAATATATTATTCCGTCTGAAAAGAAAACAACAATCCACGCAATGATACAAGCTGGACACCGGTGATGCGCAGGATTTCCGCTTCTTTTATCTTGCCCACGGAAGAACATCCCGTGATCATTGCCAGGAAATATATTATTCCGTCTGAAAAGAAAACAACATCAAGAAATCGAAAATGCATCATCTCATCTTCATAAATTCTCGCAAAGGAAAATAAATTCCTTTTAACATTTCCCCGTCATTGAATTCAAGACCCTTTAAATATGGTATTACAGTATAAAATTAAATTTAAACCTTCAGATTCAAGTTCCAAATGTTGCCAATTTACAGGCAGACATTAAGAGCAGACCCCAAAAGAACCAAGGTTTGCCTAACGTAATTTAATGCTTTAATAAAAATTACAGGCAAACCCAAAATAATTTTACAGAATTACATTCAATTATTTTCGGAGAGGATTCCAGATACCGCATATGTTTTAATATGAAATTTAGATAAATCTTCTTAAAATTAACTGAGCCTAGATTCCTGGATAAATTGAAAGTTTCTGACTCAGAATAACCCTTTGGGTTTTTTGTTAGCTGTGTAAGTATTAAAAAATTAACTGTGTAAGTAGCCGACTTTTTTTTCTAACTTAGGTCACTCTTCCTGGGACTTTTCGTGGCCTTACTTAAGCTGTATTCGTATATGAATTGAGGCGTCGTTTTCTAAAATCTAAAAAGCTCGGTGACATTTTTTTCAAAATTTTTGGAAAAAGACAAAACTCATCGAAAAATCCGTCGACATGAAACTAACCTGCAGTGCAAACCTGAAGAATTCCCAGACACCCATATGCATCGAGCATCAAAGTATACGGCTTCTTTATACATTCCGTTTCCTGCGAGGCTGAAAAATTGAAACACCCATATTCAAAATGAGGTGTCACGGTAAATTCCGGGTCACGCCCAGACGAAGAGTTGAAAAAGAATCACTCACACAGCACAGCAACAGCACCCGACTCAAACAAAAGAGTCTCTTCCCGACTTCTGTGCTCCAGAAGAACACTATACGGCCCAGACGTGGAGTTCTTGAAAGAAACTCGAAACGCTTTTCGCATCGCCATATTCAAACAATTCCTTCACACATAAAATAAAACAGAACAAACCCTGACAAAGGAAAAAAACCACACAAACACACACAAAAAAGGTGTTGATCAATACAACATTTCAAGAGGAAACCGGGTAAATAATCACGACCAGTACAAAATCCTTTACTTTGAAACTCCGCCAGACACGAACACCCAAACACACATACAACGTTTAAAACGCATAATGCCATGAAAAATTTCCTTTCGAAAAAGTCAGAAAAAAGTAATCCCGATTTGATACCTTAAAAAAAAAAAAAAAATCAATGAGCATTCTTTTGTGGTTCCCCAGAACGATCACAATGCAGAAGAAGCACACGTTTTTCTTTTTCCTTTCAACACTACCCGAAATACGATTTCCGCCTGAAACAGCGGTGAGAGCATGAAAGAAAATTGACAGATTGTCCATCGAAAGCTTGCGGAAAGTTTTCAATCACGATTTAGGAAAAAGCGGAAGCATTTAAATGTTCCTCGAATTGAAAAAGTTGCTCCCCGAGGAAAATTGCAGCGGAGCGGATTCACGGGAAATATTTTTGTAAAAGATTAAATTCTTTCGAGAAAATTTTGAGGTAAAAACTTCTTCACATATCATGCGATATTTAAAAGCCTGACGAAATCGCTTCTGAAAAATTGAGCAAAACTAAAAGACCTTCTCAACAAAAATAAAAATTTCGGCTAATACTCAAAACATTTCCTGATCCCCTGGTAAGATTCAATGACAAGCACTTTTCTTTCGAACCCAAAACAAAATCAACTTCTTGTTCTCTCTCGGAAAAAAAAACCATTTGATCAACCACAATATTCAAAAACAATTCCTTCCCCAGACTCAACATGCCCCAGATTTGAACATAAAGGTTACTTTTCGACAAACACATAAACAAGCAGCTCAGGTCCTGTGACTGGAGTTTCGGGCATTTTTGGCGAAGCACGGAACAAACGGTTAATAAGCTCACACAAACTCAAGTGGAACCTCGTAGACTAATTTTTCCACGAATTACACTCGTTCATTTAAAAAAAAAGCACCTTGAACCAAAATTTCCAGGGGCGATAAGCAAATGAGTATGTCAATAAGTAGCACATTCTTTTGAACATATTTTATAATAAAAGCTTAAAAATGCATAAGTAGATTTTGTCGAAAAGCCGTGCGGTCAGGAATGAAAAAGCTGTCACGTTCCAAAAAAATGGCACAACAGTACTGTACTTCTAAAATTCCTGATATTATTTTATCTTTTTATTTTGAATCCCAAAAAGAATTTCTGAAGATAGAATTTGCCATTGCCCCAAGCCAGGAACAGTTTGGTCCTCCTTTCGTCCTTCTCACCACATGGCACTCCCCGAAAATCGATGCCACAGAGAATCCTTTGCTGCTCTCTTGACTAGTCTTAGATAAAAACTAGTTTCAACCCCCACTCCTGTATTGCATGTCGGAGAATTCTACGTTTTCCATTGAAATTTACAAACGCGCAGAAAAAAAAAAATGTCGTCAGCATTCAGAAAAATAAAATAAGCTAAGTATCGTCGTAAATACAGTGACTCTGAATACTAGTAATTCAGTCCAGCATTTCCGAATACCTCGACTCAAACTAGAAATACATCATGCGCATTTGCACACAATATTTGAGAATCTTCCTCACTTAAATGGCCTCACTCCAAAATATTGGCATTACCATTCGCCTTTTGCATCGGCGGCGGAACGCAGTAGTTGGGCCGCAACGGAGAGATGTCGCCCGATTCGACACTACTCGTCGACACGTTGAGCAAATTGGCTGTCGACAGGGGCTGCACTTTCGGCGGCAATGGCGGAGCTTCGTCATCCGCACAGAACGACATGGATGGCGACCCCTGTGACACCCCGCGTCGAGGAAGTGGCGGAGGAAGATCTTGCGGCGGCGGTGCACCTTGCGGCGATTTGCTATCTGTTTTTTCCCCAATAATGCATGAAATCCACTCAAATTAGTAGATAAATTGGAAATTTAATGAATATGCATCAGCTATTGAAAAGCAAAAGCCTGACTGTTCAATCGCTGGAATACTTGAACGGAAAATTGTATTATACGCACAAAAATATCGTTCCCAACTAAAAAAAAGGAGGAAATTAATGCATAAAAAAGATTGTTTTTTGAACAGCACGACTTCATGACAATTTAAGTGACTCCGTCAAATATCATAAGATCATTTTTAAAGCAAGTCAATACTGCTGCTGTAAAATTGAGCAAACGCTCTTCTCACCTTCATATTAAAAAAGCCATTTACAAGAGATCGGAATATTTTTATGTACACTGATAGAAATCTATGATGCCTTTTTTCCTTTCATGCCCAATACGAAATCAAATTTTTGTTCCACGAGAAATTTATTCATATCCAGCGTAAGCTCGGTTGATTATAATTAAGGTTATATTTTTTGCCGGGATTAAGTCTAGCCTCATTTGACCAAATGCAAAAATGCTCAATACTAAATAATCCCAGCGCAAAAAATTCAACAAGTTTTGCGCATAACTTGACAAGTATCACAACAGCTGCAGTCATGAAGCATTTTCCTTGATGTTCGGGTTGGAGTGCTTGTGAAGTACCGTTTCTTACAATTTTAGCAAATCAAACCATTTCTATTGACGTTCGAATCTTGGATAGGAAAATATCGAAAATAAACGCTCGAAATAGAAAAAAGAAACCAAAAAACTCACAGATTGTCGGTGCCCTGGGAGGCAAAGGAGGCGCATCCGGTGCTTGAGGAATTTTAGCTCGGGGAGGGACAGGTGGCCCAGGACTAGTAGAACTCTTCGGGGGATCCGAAACGAACTTGTAGACATTCGAAACATTATTTCCCGACACGGACCTACACCATTTTGGTGGGGGGGAGGGGATATAAAAATATACGCACGTGTATATTTGAATCCAACGTCAGGGTTTTACAAGAATTCTTTGAAAACCAACCTTTGCTTGGAGTCGTCAAACTGCAGCCTGGTGGCCCGGATTTCCGGATGCGAGAACCGCGTGCTTTCCTTTGGTATGCTGAAAGATCCGGTCGAGCCAGTGGATCTTCCACTCCATCGCATATGACTATTCGAAAACTCCTCAACTCCTGTGTAATACTGCTCGTTTGCCAACGGTTCTGCATATTCCATTGCCGCGTCAAAACCTTCATCCTCGTCTCTCCATTCCTGATTCAATCCACAATAGCCATTAGTTACGAAACAATAAATAGGCTTTGAAATCTCACAAAAAATTCCTCATTTAAAAGAAGGAAAAAATAAAAATTGTCAGGGGTGGTCTCCAAAAGACAGTCCACGCCGTCAATTTCATACCTAAAAAAATTAAAATACCAAAGCGCCCTCTCTTTTATGATTTGCTTGAAACAAGACCCAAAATTCTTCAACATTTCATCTCATAGATAAAAAAAAACACTGTGAGACCTTTACACAGCACGTGACTCTTTTTACCTCAGAGAAGAAATATTTTTGGAAATGGTGAAACGTAATTTCGTCTTTTACAAAAACTTACAGATGGCTTGCAGTAAATTTTGTCCTCTTCTTCCTCGTCCACCTTACTGCTCATCCGCAGTTGGCCAGTACACAGCAAACTAATGCTTTCTGCAAGGGGAATCGGCGGTAGAGGCGTGCTATAAGAAAAGGAATGGGAGCATTAATATCCACCAGCTCAACAATGCTTACCTGTGTTTCACACGCCAATATCAAGAGCGAGTATCACTAAAAACTCAAAAGAAATGCAGAAACTACACTGCGTGATAGACTTTGTTCTTTTCGCCATAAAATCAATGACCAATAAAGGTTTTCCACACGATTTTCTAAATATATTTGGTGAGCAGACACGGGTGAACCTTCCTCGAGGTAAGAAGAAGACTACATTCTGCATTAGAAAAGTTATAATCTCAACCAGAACAATAAGCCATTGAATTCAACTCCTCGATAAAATTCTTTGAGTAGCAAAAAACTAGTTTAAAAAGAATCATTTTTTTATCTGAATTATGCACAAATCTGACGTTTTATTCTATTTTTACATGTGATCTTGTGTTTGTTGAATTTATAGTGTCAAATTCTTGTATTCTGAATATTCTTTGAGTTGAAAGATGTTATCCTAAGTCCAAGGTTCTGCCAAAATAAACTCCATCGAAATCCAAAATCTCTTCAATTACAAGAATTTCAACTTGCCTTGTATTCCATCGGGATACATTTTAACGTCAGAGAAGATTCTATTCTTCCAGCTGGGGCTGCGTTAAGTAATTGGTAATTATCTTTTACAGAAGCAGATAACTTATATCTCCCCGACAACACGCTCAACAGAATCCAGAGCAACAATTGGTGCAGTAGGAGTCTTTGGGCCTTATGCAAAAGGCTTTTTATGACTGCGCATGAACATGAATGGAAATGGGACAGTCAGGCGGTAAATGACTGGTGACCAGACTTGATGACACATTTCTCTGCGCAATGCAGTTGCTAGGTGGATTTGAAAGTATGTCTAAAACTATGCATAAGAATAGGGTATTCTTAACCTGTTTTGGGACACTCATAAAATATGACAAAGAATTGAAAAAAATCTTCATTACATAATCAAGAACAGATATTCAAGGTGTACCCTTGAATATGTGTTTCCAGCCACAACCTGCTTGATTGCCCACATTTTGTTTACCGATTTTTTTTAATTCGTGGGAAATGTAACTCACAGGTTCACCTCTACATTTATTTATAAAGCTTAAACAGAAATCTCACTTGACAATACTGGGTTTCCTGCCCAGTTCGCCAGCCTCAGACCTGGCCCGTCTCGCGCCAACAGGCTTCATTCCGATCCGCTCCGTCATGCTCTTCTGTTTCACCAGTCTGCCGGCATCGGCTTGTGATCTGAAGTTCATCTTCTTCTCCAGCTCTCCAAACGCCTTCACCAATCGCTCTTGCAACGGAATCATTTCCGCAGGGACTAATTTCGCATGCAAACTCAGGGCAACCGCGGTCGCATTCAATTGATCCTGGATAAAAGCTTTCAACCTTGATACGGACTCTGCGGAATACTCGGATTGTTCCCCGGATAAGAAGGCTTCTTGATACTTGGGTAAGCCACCCATTACTGCTGCATCAATTATTCCCTGTAAGATTCAAAACGCATTTTAGTGTCAAACGAAAAAGGTTCGGAGTCAAAATTTCCGCGTTTGGCCGACAATATTCAAACATGTTTTCAAATGATACTTATTTTTTTTAAATTGGCCAAAGATCATGACGAAGTTTCTGAATCTAATTTTGTCTAATCGTTAATTTTTCCGATACATTAGTTTCAAATCTCATCTCATCCAGTTATTTCTGGATTCTTTCTTCCACAATTTCTTTGAATTATCAAAAATATGTTCGAAAATCGTTTCAAAATGTTCCGGGCCACCCTGAACAGGCCTTACAGTAAGACGCATGGTGAGTGGATTCAGGTTCTTCTTCGGGTCTTCCTCATAAGCCGCCATCAAACTCTTCAGCTCCTTGTTGGTTGTCGCCAGGGTCTCGCTCGCATAATCAATAGGCGTGATCATTTCGGTTTTTCTATGGTGATGGTGCTTCGGTCAGTTTTAAGGCCCGTTTCTTACGAGCCAGAAGTTTCAACAGGAGAGTTAGGTTGCCAAGACGCCTTAGTCTGCTTCAGTTCAAAAGCGTCTTGTTAGGAAACAATAAAACGTATCCATGCGATTATCAGACGTAATCATTCGAAAGAAAGGGGAAACCTACTTTCAAAACAAATAAGATTGACTTGACATCGAGGACGAAGCTTTACAAGTTTACATGATGCAAAAAAACTATGGTATTACAAATGGCGGACCATAAATCGCACCTACCTTTAAAATACGACAGAAAAATCCAACGATACTCGGAATATGAACTCACGGATTTTTCTCTGAATGAAATTACTCTTGCTAGCACCTGTATCATGAAATGCACTTCGGTGAAAAAAAAAAGGTTTAGATGCTTTTCTCCATTTTCCATACGATCAGTTCTCGCATTTTAGCTCATAAATCAGTTATTCTGATACAGTAGTATTCATTTGCATGGGTGCAACGTTTCGGACAAATCCTTTTTTTTAAATCAATTTTAAGACAAATATTTTTGGGCGAGTCAAAAATGTTTTTAAAAAATCGCTGCTCAACTTCGCGTTAATACGTTATCCGGGAACTCAAAAAAAAGCCTCACCTTGAATTCATTGTCGCAAGTCTCGCTTCCCGGGGCAACAATCGGTCTGTCGTATCGGAATGTCGACACGTCGTTGTATTCGTAAAAACTCAAAATTTTATCGGATATTTTCGCAGGATCCACGAGGTCTTCAGGCACGCTTTTGTCAGCTCTTTTGTCCCTGGCCACAGGTCGCACACAACACACCTACACAAATTCAAGGAAAATGCGCAATTTGAATTTAAAAAAAAATTACAGCATGTTCGAATTACTCGACGATTTAAAATTCACAAACCTGTATAAACTGTCCGTCTGCACTCCTCGCAGATTCATCAGGCGGCGTATTTCTCACCATCAAACGTGCTTCCGGGAATTCAAGTTGAAGACGCGAAGTGAAATCTCCCACCCGCTCACATTCGGATCCTTTCATCACGAATTCTTTATTCTATAAATAAATGAATAAAACCTCGTCAGTTAAGCAGCAATTCGAGGAATCACGATTTAGATCCAGTAAATAAATGCTTACCCGTAAAAATATAGGGCATCCAGAGCCATAGAATCCAACGCGAAAATATTCGGCCCCCAGACGAAGCTTCGTCAGAATAACTCCATCGCATATGACTATTCGAAAACTCCTCAACTCCTGTGTAATACTGCTCGTTTGCCAACGGTTCTGCATATTCCATTGCCGCGTCAAAACCTTCATCCTCGTCTCTCCATTCCTGATTCAATACACAATAGCCATTAGTTACGAAACAATAAATAGGCTTTGAAATCTCACAAAAAATTCCTCATTTAAAAGAAGGAAAAAATAAAAATTGTCAGGGGTGGTCTCCAAAAGACAGTCCACGCCGTCAATTTCATACCTAAAAAAATTAAAATACCAAAGCGCCCTCTCTTTTATGATTTGCTTGAAACAAGACCCAAAATTCTTCAACATTTCATCTCATAGATAAAAAAAAACACTGTGAGACCTTTACACAGCACGTGACTCTTTTTACCTCAGAGAAGAAATATTTTTGGAAATGGTGAAACGTAATTTCGTCTTTTACAAAAACTTACAGATGGCTTGCAGTAAATTTTGTCCTCTTCTTCCTCGTCCACCTTACTGCTCATCCGCAGTTGGCCAGTACACAGCAAACTAATGCTTTCTGCAAGGGGAATCGGCGGTAGAGGCGTGCTATAAGAAAAGGAATGGGAGCATTAATATCCACCAGCTCAACAATACTGTACCTGTGTTTCACACGCCAATATCAAGAGCGAGTATCACTAAAAACTCAAAAGAAATGCAGAAACTACACTGCGTGATAGACTTTGTTCTTTTCGCCATAAAATCAATGACCAATAAAGGTTTTCCACACGATTTTCTAAATATATTTGGTGAGCAGACACGGGTGAACCTTCCTCGAGGTAAGAAGAAGACTACATTCTGCATTAGAAAAGTTATAATCTCAACCAGAACAATAAGCCATTGAATTCAACTCCTCGATAAAATTCTTTGAGTAGCAAAAAACTAGTTTAAAAAGAATCATTTTTTTATCTGAATTATGCACAAATCTGACGTTTTATTCTATTTTTACATGTGATCTTGTGTTTGTTGAATTTATAGTGTCAAATTCTTGTATTCTGAATATTCTTTGAGTTGAAAGATGTTATCCTAAGTCCAAGGTTCTGCCAAAATAAACTCCATCGAAATCCAAAATCTCTTCAATTACAAGAATTTCAACTTGCCTTGTATTCCATCGGGATACATTTTAACGTCAGAGAAGATTCTATTCTTCCAGCTGGGGCTGCGTTAAGTAATTGGTAATTATCTTTTACAGAAGCAGATAACTTATATCTCCCCGACAACACGCTCAACAGAATCCAGAGCAACAATTGGTGCAGTAGGAGTCTTTGGGCCTTATGCAAAAGGCTTTTTATGACTGCGCATGAACATGAATGGAAATGGGACAGTCAGGCGGTAAATGACTGGTGACCAGACTTGATGACACATTTCTCTGCGCAATGCAGTTGCTAGGTGGATTTGAAAGTATGTCTAAAACTATGCATAAGAATAGGGTATTCTTAACCTGTTTTGGGACACTCATAAAATATGACAAAGAATTGAACAAAATCTTCATTACATAATCAAGAACAGATATTCAAGGTGTACCCTTGAATATGTGTTTCCAGCCACAACCTGCTTGATTGCCCACATTTTGTTTACCGATTTTTTTTAATTCGTGGGAAATGTAACTCACAGGTTCACCTCTACATTTATTTATAANCCACTACCACGAAGCCAGTCAAAATTCCGGGCAAAGAATGCTCGGTCTTCAAAGTTGTCCTCTCAATCCAACGGTTCTGCGGAATCAGACGAAGTCAAGTTTTCGCAGAACAATCCTTTGTTATTTTAGTGTCGATGCGAATATCAGAGGTAATCATTCGGAAGAAAGGGGAAACCGACTTTCAAACCAAAGAAGATTGACTTGACATCGAGAACGAAGCTTTAAATGATGCAAAAAAAACTATGGTATTAAAAATGGCGGACCAAAAATCACACTTACCTTTAAAATACGACAGAAAAATCCAACGATACTCGGAATATAAACTCACGGATTTTTCTCTGAATGAAATTACTCTTGCTAGCACCTGTATCATGAAATGCACTTCGGTGAAAAAAAAAGGTTTAGATGCTTTTCTCCATTTTCCATACGATCAGTTCTCGCATTTTAGCTCATAAATCAGATATTCTGATACAGTAGTATTCATTTGCATAAGTGCAACGTTTTGGACAAATCCTTTTTTTTTTAAATCAATTTTAAGACAAATATGTTTGGGCGAGTCAAAAATGTTTTTAAAAAATCGCTGCTCAACTTCGCGTTAATACGTTATCCGGGAACTAAAAAAAAGCCTCACCTTGAATTCATTGTCGCAAGTCTCGCTTCCAGGAGCAACAATCGGTCTGTCGTATCGGAATGTCGACACGTCGTTGTATTCGTAAAAGCTCAAAATTTTATCGGATATTTTCGCAGGATCCACGAGGTCTTCAGGCACGCTTTTGTCCGCTCTTTTGTCCCTGGCCACTGGTCGCACACAACACACCTACACAAATTCAAGGAAAATGCGCAATTTGAATTAAAAAAAATTACAGCATGTTCGAATTACTCGACGATTTAAAATTCACAAACCTGTATAAACTGCCCGTCTGCACTCCTCGCAGATTCATCAGGCGGCGTATTTCTCACCATCAAACGTGCTTCCGGGAATTCAAGCTGCAGACGCGAAGTGAAATCTCCCACCCTCTCACATTCGGATCCTTTCATCACGAATTCTTTATTCTATAAATAAATGAATAAAACCTCGTCAGTTGAGCAGCAATTCGAGGAATCACGATTTAGATCCAGTAAATAAATGCTTACCCGTAAAAATATAGGGCATCCAGAGCCATAGAATCCAACGCGAAAATATTCGGCCCCCAGACGAAGCTTCGTCAGAATGCTGTCATAGAACTGAGCAAGTCTGGTGTGAATCTCACTCAGTTTCGTGAAGTCGAATACCCTGGATTCATACAAAACTGCCAGCTCTTTGCATAACGGGATGCACTTCTCCCAGCACTAGAATTAAAAAAAAAATGTTAATACATCGAAGAATTTAATCGTAAATCGTACTAGGGAACTGGATACTACGTAAGATACATAAAATTTCTATGTAAGCGGAAAACGTAACCCTAACATCAACACTGAAGAACATAATAAATTCATATTCTTTTGCAGCCAAAACCCTCTGCTTCAGCAATTTTATTTCTTGTCACATACGTGTGGCCTAAAATCATCAGTCACTGACCTGAGTCTACTCCAAAATAACGCAAGTTAGTCCAACAAAATTGTACAAAAGTTCAGGCGACACGTACAAAAGACATTCGAAAAACACAATGGTGCGTATATCTCGCATTAAAATGACTATATTCGAAATTTCAACTGATTCACTTGAGTTTTATTACCAATATTGAAATTTGATAAAGATAATTTTCGCAGAAACAAAAATTATACTCTTGTAACAATTACGCCAGATCAAGTTTTCTGGAATGCTCGGGAGGTGTCGCCTGAATAGCTGAACTGTCATGGACTGAACTAACAAAATATGAGTTACATTTTTCCAACTTAAAAAAAAAACACCGGAGTTTCTGTCTTGGCCAAACACAAAGTAATTACTATCGAAACACTGAACAGGAAAATAACTGTAAGAAAACATTTGCCTCACTCTCCGGGAAAACAAGGTTAGGATTTACAGCGACAGAAATAACAATCGTTCAGAAAATTTTAAAATTTCTTTCATATGAACACAGGAACTTGGAATTTCTTCTCGTAATCGAAGGGGAAAAAGCCAGCAACTTTCCTGCACATCTCATCCAACCCAAAAAAAATTACCTTTCCTTCCAAAATATTTATTCCCGCACGTTCAACAGAGAGGAATCAGCTTTCCTTTTTTGTTTTGCAAATATTGTACACGAAGAAATAAAAAACTCACCCCACCGAGATCAAAATACGTGATCATCAGCAAATATAGCGTTTCTTTCCGTTTCCACTCAGCCTGGGCAGAATACAAGTCGTCCGAATGCAGCATTCGTGGGGACCAGGCCAGCAAGTCCGCATGCAACTTGAGCGCGTACGCAGCCTCGGTGTACAACTTTCCTTCCAAATGCAGCCGGTGCAACTTGTAAACGTAGCGGAGATACAGTTCTTCCCTTTTGATATCCTTGTAGAATCCGAGGAGGTTCACGATGCACATCTTGGACTTCTCAGTGTGTTTCTCACGGCCTCGGTTCACGCGTCGGTAGTCCAATAAACGTTCCAACAAGTCCGTGACTGACTTGATGAAGCCCAGGGCGCAGCCGTTCCATTCTCCATAACCGACCCACAGACTTTCGCCAACTTTCTCGCTCAAACTAGACCAACGAAAACTCCTCATTAGGAAAAAAATGGCGCAATTACTTCCCAGATTCGGTGAACCCGAAGAAAAAATGCAGACGCGACATCTACGAAGTATTTTTGTCAATTAAAATCATGGGCTAAGATAGGTGGCATTTTAACCAAATTAGGGGTTGAACCAGGGGTTAGGAGAGGGATCATGTTAAAGTTGATTACGATTTTATATTAATCCAAATACTGTCGTTATATGAGTATTTTTACAAGACATGACTTTTAATAACTCAGTAAATTCGTTGCCATACTGATGCTACATTATTTGAGTAGACTGACAGCGATAAAAGCACAAAATGTCGCAAAAAAAACTTTTACCTCACAGATATCACTGCTGTATAAATTTTCTTACAGTTCCTCAAAATAGTGAACTACCCGCAGTTGCAATTTTTTCACAGGAAAAATAAATAAATAACGTGACTCACATTTCTTGGAACATTTGAACGTAGTTCTCGTCGCCCTTCCCGTCAGATATGAAGATGTCCAGTTTATCAATCAATTCACTTTCAACCTACAAAAAGAACGTAAATCGATTATTTTCAACCACACAGTAGTAGAGACTTTTTTCAAACCTGTTTGAAATTGCCTTTCGAAAACAACTCGGTTTCCATGATTTGAAAGAAAATTGGGATAGTCCTCTTCCTCAAAAGCGGCTGAGCAACCAGAGTCATGTCCAGAAAAGGTCCTACGAGCGCCGGAATAATCCCCAGTCGATCCTCATTTCCTACAATGATATTTTTCCCCACACGACAGAATTTCAACAGCAACTCTCACAAAACCTAAACGGTAATTTCCCTCACCCAACACGGCCCACATGCACATGACATGGGCACCCATAGCGAGTCTCATGTCCCCAGAACGCAAAACTTTCGTGCGTCTGACTGCGGAAAATTGTTCCACTTGCAATTCCGGTTGCGTAATGAACGTGACGCACAAGTTGAAGTAGTTGATCCACAATTGACCACTGAAACTCGAGCTCTGAAGGAAGAATTTTTGCAGAGGAGCTGCTATTTGTTTCGTAACAGCCAACACAATCCTGCAAAACAGAAAACGCGAGTTACGCCCAATTTGTCGGAAAACAATTTTAGACCTCGTGGTTTTTGGAATTTGAAGAAACATTTTGACTGAAAATGTTTACGCTTCGCTGCGTAATTTTGGCGTCATAATCAGTGGTATTATTGTTTAAAAATGTGGATGCCATGTCACTTGAATCTTATTCAAGTTGTACCTCTTCAAGTCAAATTTCAGGAGAGAAAGAATATTCGAATTAAGTAAAAATGCATTTTTGTAGGGGAAAAGAAAGTAGACTTACAGGAAATTGAAACTGGTTATATTCTGGGCAATAAATTGCTGCTTTAATAGATCGACATGTTGAACTTTGAGCAAAGGGTTCATTTGCCCTATTAATCTTCCACTTCCTTTCAAAACGCATATAGGTACATTTTTATGGTGTTTCTCTTTCCTGAGTAAATAAAATGGCATGAATGCCTCGACTTGCAGAGATCCAGGAGGAAATGCTTCAAGTTACGGAGGTTTTTAACGCATTCCTTCCGAAAGGATTCAGAAAGGCACTTGAAAATTTTTTTAATACAGGGAGGTATCCGACTTGAGCTTTTTTAAATTATCCAGGCTCAACTGTACAAAAATGTAAGGTCAAGTAGTCATACACGAGCAACAAAATCTCACTCGTTTTTCGCCATGCTCATGACGAGCCAGTCACGTGGAAAAACCTCCTTCTGCACTATTTCCTTCAAAACTAGGATGATCTTGAGCAGAAGCTCTTTCAAGGGGCTTCGGTCTTCTGGTTCGTCTCTCAAACTGTGATCCCTGAATAAATCGTAGCCGTTTTGAATCTGAGGCCAAAACGAAGCCCAAAGGTCTTCATAATGCCCAGCGTCCATCAGTTTCAGCAAGGACATCAAGCAAACTAAAAGTGTTTGAAACACCGGGGAACTCCATTCGGCATCCGACAAACAATCCAGTAAGGCCTACATCGGAAAAAAAAATCTTACATTGAAATCCTTCATTCAAAATTCGAAAAAAAAAAAACTTCAACTCAAGATACCGTACCTCCAGCAAATATGGAGAGTTCTTCACCAGCACAGCAACATCGTCGTGAGAAGCACTCTGAACCTCCTTGACGGCCAACGACGGAGGCATCAAGTTCGAGTTGCCGTACAAGTCTTCCTCTTCTTCCGCATCGTCATCTTCTCCTCTCTTCTCATTGTCCTTCGATTCGCCCTCGTCCAGTTCCATCATGCTGGCCAAAGTGGCAAACAACAACTCACCCGTCTTCTCCAGGCTCAGGCGACATTTGAGGTGAACGCAAGCCTGATACGATATCATTCTCAGCAATCCGGGTCGCGATTCAGGATCTGACGCCAAACAAGAGCTCCAAAGTTCTTTGAGACAGCCTAGTTTCGCATCCAGGATCTCTTTCGGGGCACTTGATGGAGATGTCGAGTAACTTGAGCCCGGCTTCACGGTATCCAGCATGAATGTTGCAGACCTTGTGCTCACCCTGGATCAAATAATGAAAATTTGAAATACTGCGGAATAAATACACGCAACACAGAAAAATCATCAACTTTCTGCTGTAAGATACTAAAAGTGAATATTCATAATTTTTTCCAACGAACACATGACCATGATTGACATGAATCACAAAATTCAGCGCATGAGAAATGAGTCACAAAATACATAGTTCGGAATTCTAGGATTCTGTATTCATTTTTCGAACATTTGATTCGTTCAAAATTAATGGAAAATGGACAATTAAGGGATGATGAACGTGTGTGTAAAAAATTCAATCGCCCTGAACTGAACGTGACATTACATTTACAGATGTTTATTTATTAACTAAGAATGACTAACCATAGCGCCTATCGGAATTTAAACTATCAAAGAATAATCCCAGCAAAACTAAAGGTCTAAATGACATCACCTTGGAAGACTGCTGCAAACATTTCTTTTCATCCACATACTTTCAGAATTTTAAACCGCACTGTTGTACACGGAAATGTTGTATGCACATTTTTCTGTGAAGCATCATCAGGCTTCTCTGATTTTATCCATAGGCAATTCCAGAGTTTATATGCGTTTTTTTCTTGTAAAGTTCCAGTAGGACAACGTGTCTCAGAACAAACCTTCGAGTAGTGCCTTCATATTTATATCAATGGTTCGCAAGAGCATAAAATTTCATGCTCAAATTGTCAGAACAGGCGAAAGTTAAATTCATGAATATTTTCAAGAACAATTTCAAATATGTAAAATATTCCTTTCAAGTCGATCAAAACTTATCATCAACCTTGAATTCAATACGACTAAACTGAAATTGTGACGTATTTTATCCTCAAAAAATCGCAATTTTAGTCTCTTGAAATGGGGTGCACGTTGTACTCAGGGATACATTTTAACTCAAATTTTAGGCTGGAAATTCAAATTCGCGTCATACACAAGGGCGTGCGATACTGAAGTTAGTATAGTTGAAGAGTGAAACACATCTTGGGCGTACAAGAAAAAAATACGGCACTCTTGACAAAAAGTTATAAAATATCACATATTATTGAAAAATAAAATTTCTAAAAATTTTACCTGAGATACAGGGACCAATCAAAAGTCAACCCAGGCAAAGTAGACCCCGGTACGCACTGCAACAGCCCTACTGCTACAACACAAACTTCCGACACGGGGAAAACTCGGGCCAGCTGCTCCACCATGGAAGGAATATTCCTCTGAATGGCCACCTGCGTCCTCACGTAATCAGGGTTCCCCGAAGCCAGAATTTTCTTGAGAGAATCCATCAACAAGAAAACATCTGCTCGGAACGAGTCTTCATTCCTGCCCTGGGTCGACTGGGCAAAAAGTATCCTCGATTGGATCATAAACTTGAAGATGAACTCCAACGCGTCGAAGCCTTTGAAAATCGACGGATGCTTCTCGCCGCGGAGCAATTTTTCCGCACAATGGTTCACGCATGTAGTCAATCCTCTTCAATAAGAGAAAAAATAAATTTTCTTCGCAACCGCATTCCCCCTTGAAAATATGTCAACTCACTTGTAGACCAACGCGGCGGAAAAATGGTCCTTGATATAAGCTTCCAGAACAGGTCGAAAATGATGAAACTTGGAGTCATTGATTGTAGTGAAAATGTTGACCAGGGCTTGAAAAACTTGCCCTGAATACGGAGTCGACTCTCCGCTCTCCGTGGAAAACATGCTGAATAATTCGTCGAGAATGTGTTGCAAAAATTTGACGAGTTCTTCGCCATCCAGAGACATCACCCTGTTCAGCACGTCCACAGCAGAAAACCTCGAATTGTTTCTGTTCAACAACGCGAACAAATCCGCTGAAAATAGAAACACAAACGTTTTAATGCAATATTGGCTAATTGCATTTTTTGGGTCGCATAAATCCACGCCAAAATAATTAAAACCACACCGTTTTGAGTGAATTTCGTAGAACACAACATCGTGCCGACGTGAACAAAGTCCTTGCCGCTTCTTCCGCCAATCAAGCTCGACACGCCGCGTTTCAAAAACTCGACACCGACAGCAGCGGAAGCGAGTGACGACGTCGAAGACTGAGTCGTCAACGATCCGGATTCTCCGTTGGAACATAAACTGCTCGCTTCAGATTCTTTCAAGTACATTTCCTGGTCTTCTCGCGAAATTTTGTTCAAATCGTCGCAGCTCTGCACCGACAGCGTGTGCATCCCGTCCCGAATACTGCAACCTTCTTCGTCCATCAACTTACGAAATGCGACTCCAAAAAGCTTCTTGTCATTCTTATCCTTTGCTGCGAGGAAAAAAATTAAAAATTTGAAGATATTTATTTTATCTCCAAGAAAACCAAAATTTAAAAATACGGCAACGAATTCCAACTTTTCGGAAAATAATTTTTGAACCACGACTTACACGATATACACAGGACGACCATGCCTAAGTTGTTCGTCTTTCAACTTCAATCTACGAGCAAACCAAAGATGACACGGATTTCAACATGCAAGGATTGGACGCGACCTCTAATATTTTTGGAGTAGGTGAATCGTAAAGAGAAAAAAAATCATGACAGCTCATCATGATGTTATAAGGTTCTGGGGTTTTTTGCGGATTTCCAAAAGAATTTTTTATATTTACAGCATGATGATAAGTATAAACTTTCCAGTTACAGCACCCATGTCACAGGGTGCTAAAAAGGCTTTCTAAGATAATGGATAAAACAAGAAATTCAGCTGGCCTGACAAATTTTAGCTCCCTGTGATATGGATGTTGGAAGTCTGGAAATTGTTCACTAATCACACAGTAAATTTAAAAAATTTTCAATTAAAAAAAATCCCAGAACCTTAGAATATTGTGGGCTATGTCATCATTTTTTTCGCACAATCGCACCTAATCTAAAAAAAATATCAAGAGGTCGCGTTCAACTTGGGCAACCCCAGTAACCCATACATTTTTGGTTCACGAATTATGCATTACATTTACGTGTAAAGTACTGTACATCCGTTTCTCAAGCATAGAATAAAATGCAAGAAACCATCATAGGAGGACGTTCGATGTTCACAACATTACTCAACCACAGGCGAAAATGAATCATTCATGAAGAAAACACACACGCACACCACGCTCCATGAGAAAGAATCTTCGGAAACTCACTCGAACAATGAAAAAACTCCAACCGAACAATGGCAGAGGGGAACTTGTCCACTGGGATCGACAAACGAACACAATCATCCCAATTGGGAGAGTTTTGGTGGTAAAGCACAGCCGACTGATACACACTGCAACCCAGACCTTCCTTCTTGCTCACAGCCGGATGAATACACTGCACACAACCATGAATTCACTCTTCAACGCCAAATGGTTAGTTCAATTTACTAATTTTCAATGAATAAACAGGAAAAACCAAACCCAAAAAATTAATAAATAAAGGAATAGGAAACCCGAAAAAATTAAATGTTATTTGTTCAACAGACGACAAGTAAATCACCTCGATCGGTTCCGCGGTTTGGCCATCAAGTACCGACAGCTGTACTTGGACGTTTCTTCCGGCCTTTTCAAAGTCTCCTCGACACAACGTCAGGTACAGATCGTTACGCAGATCACCGGGCATGATGACATCCGAGAACCCCTTTTTCAGAACCGTCGGATATGCAGTGAACAACAGCGGTTCTTCTTTCATGACACGTGGCAAACTGCCGCGAAGTACTTTCACATTCACATCCAACGCAGCTGCAAAAGAATTTTTTCTTCAAAATTGTCTACATTCCGTTGAACCAAAAATGGGGCAAAACCTGGCGAGAAAATAAGGTTAATCTGTTCCTGTCATAATTTCAAGATGAAAAGCGGTCTGGACAAAGTGACTGTACAGGATAAAATAAAAATCTTATGCCATTACATGGGGGCCCCGCATTACGTCCCTAGATGAGTCTCGTTATGTCATATTTTCGATTTGTGAAACACGCTTTTCCTTGAGGTTAATAGCAATTTATTCAACTGGTTTAGGGAGTTCACCAGAAAACGGTTATAAATTCATGGTTCGCTACACTTGTTGTCATGAATCACACACGTTATGCATTTTTCAGCCAATATTTTTTAATGTAATATTGTTGTGAAAGAAATTGCTCTCGACTTCCTGAATTTCTCACGTCGCAAGGACGAGGGAAGGTAAAACTATGCTTTTCTTCCTCTTTCAACTTGATTCTCGAAAAATTCACAAAGTTCAGTTCAAAACTCGTTAAAATTTGCTCATTTTTTAGGCAAAAAATTTCTTTATGTGAAATTATTTCGTAATGTGAGTCGTGTTTTACCCCCCAAAA